GGTGGGCTTACCGGCAGTGTTGATTTACAAGAATGGAGAGTTAATTGTGAATTTGGTGAAGATAACCGAAGAAATCGGGGAGACCGATTTCAACATTGAGATCGTCGAAAATGTGTTGGTTAGGTTTGTGGATAAAAGTTTTATTAATAAAAGAATCAATCTATTTTCGATTCACTAACTTTTGTTGAATTTAGACGTGGAGCACTAAATCCTAATGAAGATGTTGATAAATTAGCATTTTCTGATGACGATTATTGATTGTTACGTAATACACTAATTTTATTTAATTTAATCAATAATAAGTTTATATATAGATTTGATGATGTTAAAATTACCCATCGATTTTAATGTATTATTTATTACTTTCTGATTTCAGTGTAATAAATTAAACTTCCGACTTAGATGCATTCGGGTCACGGTTTTTACGGACTCCCTGACCTCATGCGACGCTAACTAAAAAAGGATTACCCACATGAGCAAATCAAAAAGGGTAAAAGTTTGCCTGATCCAAAATTGCGGGGTCCAAAAAATCTCGTCAGAGGACCCTCTCCTACACCTGATTGCATAATAGATTAAAAATTATGCTTGACGTGTGTGTGTTGCATACAATTAATGTTTGGGCTTATCAATGTCCAGTATTACATTACGGTACCAGTGTTTGTGTGATGTCGTTTGTTACAGTTTAGAAATTTTATAAATTACACACTGAACGCCTTGTTTTAATATGTACGCGCACATATGTACGTAATGTCTTAATTTAGTTAACATCGGACGACAACATCATTATTGACAACTTACGTGCCTAAAAAAGATATAAAAAAAAAAAAAAAAAGACGGGAAATAAATTCACTCATTTTTCTTCTTAATTTTTTCTTTTCTTTTTTCTTCTTCTTTTTTTTTTGTATTATAATAGAACACTAGAAACAGAAAATTCGGTTACAGCTAGTTCTCGTAACAAAGTTAACAAGGCGCACTTCTGAAGATTCCAGTATTCTCCATTATTTTCATAATTCTATATGCAATTGAACATCTTTGACCCTGTATCAAATGAAAGAACTTCTTTTGTATCATCGTCTTTCGTTCGTAGTATATTGCATTAATATTAACATTTGTATTTGTACATTATAATTAACTTTTTAGAGGAAAAAAATTAGTCGATAAATACTGCACATGAATTATATTATATACCAAATGATGTTTATCAAAATCGACCGTTTGTCGCAAATTTTATTTTTCCCGTTGCTAGTAGCATATTTGGCCTCGGTAAATTCAATTATACCGGACTTGGGCGATTTAATTTTCACAAAGGTTTTAATTGGTGTAGTTCAAGGACTGGTTCATGAATTAATAACCAATTTCAACCATCCAGCAACGTTTACAGAATTCCTCCAGATACCGTCAAAAGAATTCAACGTTACCGATGAAAATTCCGAGGTTGCAAAGAGTGCATCACTGCATTCCGAATTAACGACACCCGACAAACAACAAACCCTGCTCGATCGAATGCAGGAAGAGAATCGGCAGCTGTTGTCAAGATTGGCGGGTTTGGAGAACGTATTTAAATCGTCATCATTAACAACTCATGAAACCGAAATCTCTAGCAACGATAACGAAGAAGATTATACGAGACCGGTAAACAGACGAAAGATCAGGGAATCACGATATGCCGCTTTTCCAAATAAGTCAAGAAGCGGCTGTGATAAGTATAAGAGAAGAAATTCGGTGCACACAACATCGTCAATTAGCAGTGACAATAGTATTGTGTTCTCGGCCGCCCATTCTATGACCGACAATGACGGTCATGTAGATACGAACATTACTGATTATAGTGTGAACGATGTTGACGGAAAGAATGAACAACACCACGATGAGGGCATGTTGGTTGACGAAAAGTCAGAATCAGAGAATAAGGAGTATTGGATGAATAAAATAATGAAGATGGTGGAAGAAGACGATCCCAGAAGATCATATACTTGGGAGCCTATTAGCTCCGGGTAGGAATTATTAAAAAGAAGTTTTGCTTTTGAAATCGTACATTCTCTCTAATGTTTTCACATTAATCAACAGTGGCAATGGAAAAGTCTACAAGGCCACCAATAAAATCCATCACAAAATCTTGGCCGTAAAGGCCATCTCATTAACCACCTCAAAAATGCCGAACGTCACCTATGCCGAGGTGGTGTGCTCTAGAATTTTGAAGCATCCCAACATAATTGTGAATTACAAACAATGCATAATGAACAATAATCGTGATGTCAGAGATGGCAATTATACATACAATAGTGAGGTTCATGATAACGGCAATACGAAAGGTTGCAGTATAATATGCAGCAACAATACATTATGCCTGCTGATGGAATACTGTAGTGCCGGGTCTTTGTGGGATATACGAAATCGAAAGAAAAACAAGAGATTCAGCGAAATTGAGGTGGCATATGTGATGCGAGAGGTATTGCGAGGTTTGGAATATACACATGGTATGGGTATAATACACCGAGATATAAAGGCTCAAAATATTTTAGTTGGTGATGAAGGACTTGTTAAGATCGGTAAGTGCACCTTTGTTGATTTCATATTGTGCATCCATTGTCCTGCCTTTTTTTTCCTCCTTGCACGTCGAGTAATTCGAAAATCTTAAAACAGCCGACTTTGGATCCGCATCATTACACTCTAAAGCGTCCTTAAAACTAGGAACCTTATATTGGATGGCACCGGAAGTATTAAGGGATAAGCAGGTGTATGATTGTAAAGTGGACATCTGGTCATTGGGTATAATGGCCGTCGAGTTATTTGATGGGCAACCACCGTGGTATCCCATGGGACAACGTAGGGTATGTATTTTTCACCGAACAAACGCATATATGCACGTACGTACAGTGGGATTACTTGACTCATAATGCATTTGTTCCACCTCGCTATGTTTAGGTCGTAGAATTGATAAGAACCGTGGGTACGCCGCCATTACCACCGTGTATATCCGACGACTTCGAGTCATTTTTAAGGGATTGTTTGAAGGTGAATCCAAGGGAACGGCCTTGCGCTAGTGAATTACTGTTGCATCCGTTTTTGATGAGCTGCGCTGGGATCAATGGGATTTGCGTTGAGCAATAGTAGTGTGACAGGTGGAAAGCATTGAATAAATTCTGATGCGGTTGATGTATTTATTACTATTATACAGTTATCATTACAAATATAAAATTAACAAAAAAAAAAAAACTTTTCCAATACATCACACCGCAGCATTATAAATTCCAACAGTGAACAATTCACCATTTAAGATTATTAGTCTTTTTGTTTTATATTATGTTGCCTTCGGTTCCACTTTTATGCACTTGAAAAATGCTGATATAGAATCTCATGCACCCTCATTGTCGACGAAATGTCTTCCTAACATTGCATCACAAAAAAAAAAAAATGAGAAAATGAAAAAACAAAATAATCAAGTAATCATTTGATGTATGCATGCTCGACGGATCTCACCTCGCGTAACACGGAGTCACTGAACCTCAAAATCTTTGTCACTTTAAACAACCATCCAACCAAGAAAAGCAATTTCAGTCCCCTCTCGCAATCTTTATTCAAGCGATCCTCTACGAAAAGAGAGATTATTATTCGGGTGATGTCGGGTAGTTGAATATCGTAAGGTTGGTGTACCGACGGCGCCATTATAGGATTCTCGCAAACTTGTGGATGAACTAGACCTTGACACCCGCAAGCTATTGTTATTCAAAGGTGGCGGTCTAGATAACAAGGACTCTTCATTCGTGGGTTGGCTAGTTATATTTTGATGTGTTTAAAAATTTATAAGGACATACACATTAAGTACATGAAACTGCTAATTTGTAATAATTATGGAAAAGGGAAAAAAATCCTTACCGAAATCCGTTCCATTGTTGTTTTTTTGCCGAAGATATGTCCTTGATGGTTCCACTCGCCCTAGCACCTATGCTGCCGCTGGCATATCCCGTGAATCCGCTTAAACCAGGACTTGGCGGTAAACCATTCGCCATAATACTACTCGAGCTCCCAACCCCCGAAACATTGCCGACCATCCGTCTTCTTTCATCTCTGCCTGACAAAGCTGATGACGATGTGGCGAAATTTCCGTATGATGGACTCGATAAATGTTCTAAAATGCCAAACTTTTTTTCAATAACTTTATCAAAAAATGCATCAACCTTCTCGGCTGCTATGGAATTCGGTGCAAAATGAGTGGGCGCCAGCGTACACTTTAAAATGCAAGAAAGATATTTAGTGTCTCTAATAACAAAATCACGTTCATGCCGGCACAAGAAAACCCACACACCAAATTAACACAGTCACCACCATACTCGTCGACGATGCTATACCTCCTCTGGCGTCCCGTCAATTCTTGCTTAACAAGGTCTGCCTTAGTACCAACCACTAAAATTGGCACACTTGCGTGGCGTTCTCCAACTTGTAATTCAAAATCATAATCTAAAATTAATATTTTCAAGTAAGTCCCAGCGACATTGACTATTAGATATTGAGGAAACCCGTCACCTACCGTTAGATCTATGACTATTCATTCCACCATTCCCACTCATCCAACTTCCACTTGCACTCATGGATCCACTCCCACCCATCCAACTTCCACTTGCACTCATGGATCCGCTCCCGCTCATCCAACTTCCATTTGAATTACCATTACCCCAATTTGCACTCCCAATGCTGTTTACTTTTTCACTCTCTTTATAGGCGTCCGAATGTATAACTTCGGCGATCCATTTCCACAGATTATAGTATGATTTCCTATTGCTAACATCATGAACTAATATTATTCCATTTATTTGATGGTAAAACACGTTACGGGCGGACTTGTGCTTTGACGAACCTCCAACATCAATAAATTCCACAAAATATGTTTTATGACTTTGTGAATGAGTATGGATCTATCGGTTTTCGTTGGATTATACGTTAAAAAAGTTGAACTCGATGTTTAGTTTCAAGAGTTCCAAGTAAAGAGCTTACTTTTACATCTACAGAACAACCGATCGTCCAAGCTGGATGTCGCAACGCTTCGTTATGACAAAGTATATGCACAAGACTGGTTTTGCCCTGTTCATTTGTTTGTTGGTGGGACCAAACCGATGATTTGTAAGATGCAAAGTACTTCCATTAAAATGATTAAGTAGATCAAGAAATTTAGTTACCACACCGGAATCTCCCACAACGACGATGCGTATTTTATCGTAATATTCCATTGATGTTTGTTCAAGAAATTCCGTGTCATTTAAAAAAATCAGAGTCATGTGATCTCATGCATTTATTATTTATATTATAAGTTTGTTAACTAATCGAATATTCAAGCAGAACAATTTCTTTTTTTTTTTTGAGGATTAACAAAGTCCAATTTATTAAACATATTGGTGTCCTCAGGTCTTCTTGCAAAAGATTTTTTGTACATGTGTTGAATTACATTCTTACAAATTCTACTACTTAAATATTCTTCTTGTGATTCAAATATTCTAATCTAAACATTTTCAAAGTTTACAATAAACCCATTTTTCTAGCATGGAGCTAGATCCCTGTGACATGTTGATGGAAAGAAACCCTACTACTCTTCTATATTATGTCTAAATCATTCTGTTAAAACTTTATATTATGTTTAGCTTTTTAATTTAAAATCCTTTTCAATATCTTATTGTATCAAATATTCTTTTTATACTATCTTTTTTTTTTTTTTTTTTAACCTGCAATCATACCACAATGGCATATCTTTATTGAGATATTGAGAAATACCTAAATATTTTAGACTTTCACAAAGTGACTAACTTGTTTTTTTTTTTTTTTTAAATCCTCTGTCAGGCTAGTTATGTATATTTTATTAAACAATTGTAAGCTGTACATATAGTATAAATCACTAAAGCTAAAACTTTAACTAGCTCACTCGTCTTAATAATTAATCTAAGTGCAACTTTGGGAGTAATTTTTCGCTTCATTAAAAGTTCAGGTAAAGACCCTTCCAACTTTTAATATCATTGCCTGCAGGTCACTACTGCAGATTACTCT